CAGCACCCTTAACCACGCCACCTGCCAGCCCCTGGTCTGAAAATTAAATGAAAAATTCCAGAAATAATTTATAAATTTCTTTTTTTAAAGATTTATTTATTTCTGCCATGAATGAGACAGAGACAGCACCCCCAACAATGTCTTAATGCCACTATTAACCCCCAGCTTTAGCCAGCCCAGATCATGGCCGCTTGGCGAGGTCTCTGGATGCAAAGCTGTCTAGAGCTGTCTTGTGTAGTCAGCCTCACAAAGTGTTGCATTTAATGGTGTGTCACCTTCAGCCCCCCCCCCCCCCCCCAACACAAATAGATTACACATTATGAATAGCATGAGGAAATCTCAGGCTGTCTACTTCTTCCTGCTCAGGGTATGAATCATCCCTTTGTCTAGCATATCTATGCTATATATGCCAGCTACTTATTACTTAGTAGCCACTTTGGTTATCAGATCAGCTGTCACAGTATCATAGTGCTTGTGTTCTAGTAAATGTAGCAGTTGCCCTCAAAGTGTAAGAGTAGCAATAGTGGCATGTTATGTACAGTTGGCCCTCTGTGCCCATGGATTCCATGTCTGTGGATTCAGTCAATCACAGGTCAAAGATACTCTCTTGTTAATGACATGTACTATGTAGTTAGGCCGACAATGATTGCCTCTGTAATGAACATGTACAGACATATTCCTTGTCATTCTCTCAGCAGTACGATATAACAACTACTTACATAGCTTTTATATTCTATTTGGTATTATAAGTAATCTAGATATAATTTCAGTTACACAGAAGGCTATGGACAGGTTATATGCAAATATCATACTATTTTATATAAGGGACTTGAACATCTGCAGATTTTGGTAGCAGTGGGTAGGGGATATGAAGGAAGTGTATCATATAAGCAACCTCCACACATACCGAAGGGCAACTGTAATTATTTTATTTTAGTATTAGTTGTTATTCTGAATCCCTTACTGTGCCTAATTTATTTATTAAACTTTATCATAGATATGTATAGAAAAATAATATATAGGGTTCAATATCATCCACATTTTTGGACATCCACTGGGAGTCTTAGAACATATCCCTGTATATATGCTTCATATAAAAAAGTATGGGAAATGGTGAAGACATTATTTAAAGGAAAATGATATTCTTATATGTCTATATTTCAAAAATATACTTAAAACACTATTTTTAGAGATATTTTTGCCATAGGGCACACGTGCTCGCCAGAGAGATAGTGAGAAATCACCCCCCGGGGAGATGGCCACTCTGGAGTCCCTTCTCCACCATTCTTCTCTTGGGATTTTGGGAATGCATGTACACACACCCAGTGTAAGTTTTGAGACACAGAATTAGGGACTCAAACCAAACTATGGTTGACTACATGGGAGTCCAGCAACATAACCATTACACCATCTGCTGGTCCCTTAAAGCATTTGTTTTAAGAAATAAAAAAATTATAATACCAAGAAGAGGGAATTAATAAACATAAAAGTTGAGAGTAAGTGTAAAAGCAATGTAAGTAAACTTCCAAGTGATACTTTTGTAAGTTAATAGCATTTACACTTTTGAAGTTATTAAAACTTGATCAAGATTTTTGAGGCAGTCTGCATACAAAGCTCTGACAGTTGATGAGAAAGGAGAACCAATCCAGTAGAAAAGAACAACAACAAAAAAAATGAGTAGGCACTTTATAGAAGAGCAAAATCAAAATGGCCAGTAGGGACCAGTGGATAGCGTAATGGTTACGTTGCTGGACTCCCACATAGTTGACTGTGGTTCAAATCCTGGACCTGGCAGCTTAAAACTCACGCTGGGCATGTGTGCATGCATGCCCAAAATTCCGAGAGGAGAAAAGGGATTGCAGTGTGACCATACCCCTGGGGGCTGATTCCTCACTTTGTCTCTTTCTCTCTCTCTCTCTCCGGTGAGCACATGTACCCATATAGCAAAACTCTTAAAAAATAAATTGCCAAATAAAAACAAATTTACTTAGAACCAGGATTATAAATTACATATAACAATGTGATTTTATTTTACTTATACTCATCAGATTAGCAAGGTTTTCAGAAAGATGATATTTAATTTGTCGCAAGAAAATGATGTTCATACATTGCTGATGAAAGTGAAGGTTTTTAGCCTTTTAAGAAAGTAGTCTACTATTAAAAATTCATATTCATTGGGACCAACAGGTGGCGTCGTAGTTAAAGTGATGGACTCCCACATGGCCAACCACAGTTCGAGTCCTGGACCCAGCGGCTTGAGGATCACACCAGGTATGTGTGTGTGCGAGCCCAAAATCCCAAGAGGAGAATGGAGGAGAGGAGATTGCAGTGTGGTCATCCCCCCACCGGGCGGTGATTTCTCACTTTCTCTTTTTCTCTGTCTCTCTATGGCAAATGTATATACCCTATGGGGAAATAAATAAATAACACACACACACACACAGAGAGAGAGACACTACACATTAACACACACATTGTGATCCACCAGTTCCACTTCTGGAAATCTAGTCCATACATATAAAAGTACCATTTTGTGATGATCAATAATACGAGAAATTTTGCCCACAGTACCTTCTGCCATCCCTTTTCTCAGATCTTAAATCTGTATTATTTTGGTGACTGATCTGGATAGAATGAATAGAGTAGACTCTATGGCTAGAAAAGAACTTTGACAACACTTAGACCAGTGGTTCTCAAACTTCAGTGTCTGTTAACATCACCTAAAGGGCTTCTGAAACACCCTCTACTTCAGTAGGTCTAAGTCAGGCTCCTTAGAATTTACAGTTCTGTACAATTCCCTGATGATACTGATGCTGATGGACTGAGGACCACATTCTGAGAACCACTGGTTTAGATCGACTCAGACCCTTTACAAATAAGGCACTGTGCTATCAAATCACTTATCAAAATCATAGTTACTTAGTAGCAAAGGCAGGATTAGCTCCAAGTTTTTCACATTCTTAGTCCATAGTTCCTTAGTATTTGGCATATTAAATAGAATAGAGAAGTATAATATGTACATACTGTTTTAGGGAAGTATTGATAATGAACTAAGAACAGATCAGCTGGACTTTTCTCTCCCTTACAGCATATTTTAGTCCTTTGAAGAAAAGACAGTCATTGCTATGTGGGAAAAACCAGACACAGACTTGTGGTGTATGGTCTTTGTATAGCAGTCATCATACCCCAGCTGGTTAGAGTAGATCATTGGTTTTCAACCTTATTAGACCCAGTCTTCTCTTTTTATAACAGATCTTTGCAATGACTACTTATCCTGAAAGAGATGGACAAATGATATAACCTATATAACAAGATTTTTTAAAAATTAGTATAATAGAGGCCTGCAGATGACACAGTGGTTACATTGCTGGACTCCCATATGGCCTACTACAGTTCGAGTCCTGGACCCAGTAACTTAAAACTCATGCCAGCTGTGTGTGCATGTATGTCCAAGATCCCAGGAGGAGAAGTGATTGCAGTGTGGCCATCCCCCCTAGGGAATGATTTCTCACTTTCCCTCTCATTGTCTCTGTCTGTCTCTCTGGCAAGTGCACATGCCCTATGGCAAAACCTTTTATAAAAATCAGTATGATGAGGGAACCAGCAGTTAGCGTAATGGCTATGTCGCTGGACTCCCACGTAGTCGATCGCGGTTCGCTTCTCGAACCCAGTGGCTTACAACTCACGCCGGGTGCGTGTGCGTGCATGCCCAAGATCCTGAGAGGAGAATGGAGGAGAAGGGAATACGACGTGACCATCCCCTCTGGGGGGTGATTTCTCACTTTCTGTCTCTATGTCTCTCTGTCTGTCTGGGAAGTGCATGTTCCCTATAGCGAAAATCTCTCAAAAAAAAAAATCAGTATGATGTCTTTTTTTTTAAAAGAGGGATTTTTGCTATAGGGTGCATGAACTCACTAGAGAGACACAGACAAGGGGACAGAAAGTAAGAAATCACCCCCCACCCCTGGGGGATGGCCACACTGCAGTCCCTTCTCCTCTGTTCACCTCTCAGGATCTTGCGCACACACGCCTGGGGTGAGTTCTAAGCTGCTGGGTCTGGGACTCAAACCACAATCGATTGTGTGTCCAGTGACATAACTATTATACCATCTGTTGGTCCCCAGTTTAATGCATTAACTATAATATAAAGGAGAAATGAAAGGACATTAATTTGTAATAAAAATTTTAATATGAAAGAATTCATGCACAAATACAAAATACACAACTCAGGTGTTTATATCTACACCGTGAATGTAAAAGCCAAAAATGTAGATAGATATAAGCATGTTACTTTGGCAGTTCAAATACTGCAATGACTTGTCATTGCCATTGGTGGTAAGATTTTCTGAAATGGTGAAAACTCATGATAAAGTTCTTAAATTGTATTACCTATAATTTATTCAATGATACAATTTCTGGAAAATTCAGCAGCAATATATTCAAACAGTGCAGAGAACCTTTTTATTTATGAATGAGACAGGCTAAGTTCAGATGACTTTAAACAGGTTTGCATTGTTATGAATATTCAGTGAGATATTTGAAAGTTTTGCAAGGCACAGGGTAATTTTGGTTTTGTGGGACTGTCTCATACATTGCAGGACATCTAATATCTCTGGCACCTTCTCATTCAATTTCAGCCATGTCCCCACAAATCTGTGTTACAACCAAAACAATATACTCACACATTTACACAATACCTTGGGACCAGTACATCCTCTCAGGAGAGGAGGTCCATAGGTAAGTGGCATTGTTTTCCCGTATGATAGAAAAAACGTTCTGCCAGGGTTTTAGTAACCTCATGAAATGAACACTTTTCTCTCACCAACGCATAAGGTATACTAGCAGACCCCATCTCTATATAATAGCATTATTGAATGGTAGTTATCATCTTTCTTTGTAGATTTCTACTTTTGAGGCAGAATTAGGAAATTTGTAAATTCAGCCCTTTTCTAATTATTTCTACTGTTTCTTTTTTTTTTTTCCTCCTATTTATGTTCTAGGAGGACTGCAGACCCAGGTTGGAATGCCAGGAAGTGGATCTGTATCCATGGAACGGGGACAGGGTAAATAAATACTAATGTCTGATTAATGTGAACCAGATTTAGAAGTATTCAATAACTGCACTACTATGGCAGCCACTAACCACTGGTGGCTATTTAAATATTAAGTTGATAAAATAAGTTAGAATTAAGTAAAATTTAAAACTCAGTTCCTTAGTCACCCCCAGCCACCTTCCAAGTACTAAGTAGTCACATATAGCTAGTGAATACCATACCAGACATTGAAAATACAGAACATTTCTATTGTTATAGAAAGTTGTATTGAACAGTGCTGGTCTAGACTTACTACTTACTCAGAGCCCAGCTCTGTAAAAATTGATGGTAAAGCAAATGGATCCTTTGTTTTCTGATAGTCTAATGGTTTTACTGACATGTTTTCTCTCCCTCTACGTATATCTATTGACCAAGTAAGAGCATATAATATGTATCTGGGTATGTAGCAATAGAAGACTAGATTTGAATATCAGAGAAAACTGGAAGGGAATCGTAGGTCCATGAAGTATACTTGATAAGTTGTACTGTGGCAGTAACACTGTGGAAAATAGCAGCAGCCACTCCCAAATCTCTTATTTCTCCAAGTTAGTGGAGTTTGAAGGAAAAGAAAATGCAGTAGTCCAGTTGAAATCGATGTTCAGAGGAGAAAGGGATAGAAAAGAGAAGGAACCGAGTATACACTTCATGCCAGGCCCTTTAATTTTCATAAACTATTTTGTGAATTAGGTGGCTGCACTTTATTGTTAATAGGTAAAGGAATAGAGTTTACAGAGTTTTAAGTTACTTATTCAAAGGGACAAAGTAGGGGCCAGCAGGTGGCATGGTAGTTAAGGGCACTGGACTCCCACATGGTTGACCATGGTTCCAGTCCCAGACCTGGAGGCTCTCCCCCCACACAATGTTTCTCTGGAAATATTAAAATAATATTTAAGTTAAATAAATAAAGTTAAATAATTCTTTTTTAAGAAAGGGAAGACAAGGTAAGTAAATACCAATGTCTGAGTAATATGGACTACATTTGGTGCTCTCATCTTCTCGTTCAACTAGTAAGTGACAGAACTAAGATTTAGAAATTTCTTATTCTAAAATCCGTTTCCTTTCTGTCACTTCCACACTGCCTTTATTAACTAACTACCCAAAACATTCTTTAATATCTTCTACTCTTATTCACTCGGTCCCTGTGATGGAAAGAGATTGCTTTAGACAAGCATAGAGAGGCTTCAGTTTTTTCTTCTTGGCATATGACCTTTAAGTGACCCACCTAAATAGCAAAATGCTAAGATTCAGTCCTGTGGTTTGTATACTAAGGTTGGTTGCTGAAACGAGAGAGCTGATCATTTTTTTTCTCGTTAGATGTCTGACAGCAGGACACACTACTGGTCAAATCCTTTCTCTGATCATCCCATGTTTTTGTGCTTTTGTGCATCTCCCCCCACCATGATACCACTATTGGTAGATTTATGCGTACCCCCAAAATATTTTACTGAGAAGGGATTAGGCCTTCGTTCTTACTGCTACATCTCCCTGGGCCTTCGGTTGATCATCAAACCTGAGCTGATTAACACATGCTTCCACAAGACATCTTCTTATGGTTAACTTCATGTTTCTTGTCAAAAAGTTAAGAAAGGGAAATGACTCATGTTTTGAAGGTATTTCAAGGATGTCTCCATGAAGAGAGAAAATGAGATGAGCTCTTTTTTATAGTTTACTTCAGAGGAAGCAAGAATCTTTTTAATTTTACCCAGTGTGTCTTTTCCTGGAATCCATGCTGCTTTTGCACATTTGTAATGGTAAAAGGAGACGGTGAGATACTTGCAAAGATACTTCATGTTTCTTAACCACCTTTGTTTTGTGTTGGTGTCCTTGTTAGTTTTTGCTTACTATTGTCATGATGTTTATTATCAAAGACTTTCTGGGGCAGAGTATTTCTTATGGGATAATACTCTGTTTTCATCTGAAATTCATTCACAGCATTTCCCCATTTGACACTTTTGATAACAGATATTTTTGTCCTTTAAATATGATAAAATACTACTACCTCATTTCTGTTTTCACCTCTCCAGAACAAATCTCATCTTCCAATGTCAGTGCTATTTCTTTTCATGCTTTGCATGAAAATATGTTTATGTTCTTTGCTTAATTACAACTTCAAAACCATCCTTTTTATATTTTGTCTTTTCTATTTTTGAAATGGTATAAGGAGACTTAGGGGAAAACATAGTAGCAAAGGTGAAAATAAAAAATGACTGACTATTGCTGCTCAGATAAAACCAGTGACCTATAGATTTTCTTTTAGGAAGCTATCTGTTCAAAATGGAACTGTTTCAGATACCCGATGGAACTCTTACAGTTCAGGAAGGTTTTATAGCCTGGAGCAAGCTAATAAACCTTTCGCTTTTTAACGTACGTGTGCAAATCACCAGGCTCCATATGTGTGTATTTCAGTGTGTGTGCACAAGCTATTTTAAGTGTCTGCTCTTTCTCCTTTTGAACTTACTGCTTACCTAGGAACCCTACAGCACTCGCCCGTGGGACCCGCCGGGCCTGCTTCAATTGAGCGAGTTCAAGGTACCCATTGTATCTGCGGGTTTCCTTTGGCTTGTGGTGTTCAGGGTGGGACGTTGAGAGGAAAAGAGCTGCTTGGCAGTCATCCTCACGTTCAGAGCCCAAAAGGGTACTGTTTTGGGTTTGTTTTTTTTTTTAACATTTTCCTGTTGAGGCCACAAGCCTAAGATTGACCTCTTCACACAGGGCAGAGAACATGGATGATATGGGCATCTGTCCGAGGCTGTACTCCCTCCCTACTGGTGTCAGGAGGCTTGGATGGAATAGCAGTCTGTAAGGAGACAGCGGGTTTTTGCAGAGGCATGGCAGTGTTCACATATGCCAAGACCCTTCCTCTCTTTTGTGACTCTGGTCCTTGAACTAAGATTGATTAGAAGGAAAACCAGGAACCTTAGTTTCTTCAGGTGGCAGTGCTAGTCCTTGGCAGGTTGCTCCCCAGTTTGCTCTTTTTATAATTCCATCCATACCTCTGACATGGCACAGATTCTGCCTATACCCTGCTTCTGTTCTTGAGCTGCAAGAGGATTCTGCTGTGGTGAGGTTTCACCCACTCTAAGGTGTCTTAATTATGTCGTCAGTGGTGTATAGAGTCATTTCTTGTTTCCTCCTGTGTCCTTCACAGCAGTAACTCCTTGTTTGTTTCCCTGTCAGTGCCGCTGCAAGACCCCAGGGCAGCCATGCAGCGGGGACCCTTGCCTGCCAACGTCCCAACTCCTCGAGGTCTCTTAGGAGATGCTCCAAATGACCCACGGGGAGGCACTTTACTTTCTGTAACTGGAGAAGTAGAGCCCAGGTAATACCAACATAGAAGGAAACAGTCTGAGAAATAAGGACTTTTCCCCCTGTTTTGAGAACAACAAAAATAAGTTTATTTTTGTACCTGTTAAACCTGTTTGCCTACTTCAAGATAAATAAATGTTTATGGGCACTGTCCCAGATCAAGCAGAACTTTTACTTGGGCCTGAGGCTTTGAGTTAATCATTATTGCTGTTTTTGAAATGGGTAATTCTAGTATGGGGAGATCTTCAAAAAGATCTGGAAAATTTGTATTATGAATAAACTTTACAAGGATTTCAAAAACTTCTTGCACCAAAATAAACTTATACTTTAATTCTTTTTTTCCACAAACTTTTTGAAATTCCCTTGTATACATACAAAAACGGGGAAAACTTCTGATAACAGAAATGTTAATACTAGTAATAACAATAACAATTGCTGTTAATAGGAATCATGCCTCTGCCTCTGCTCTAAGTACTTTTCTTAGAACATCTCATTAAATATACCCAACAGCTCTGTGAGATGGATAGTCTCATTTTCTAGATAAAGAATCTGAGGAATAGAGAAGTTAAGTTAAATATACCCAAGATCAATCCTAACCTGTTTTCTGGCTTTTAGGCTTAAGCAAATTTTTCTTAACTTTTTTTTATCTTGACTCATTAAAGCTAAAACTGGTTTTCTTGAAATTAAAAATAATAATAATAGCAAACTAAAGAGTGCAGGAGAAAGGTAGGCAGTGGGGAGGGAGGAGGGAATCAAGTAGGAAAAAGGAGCAGAACATTTAACAGACACAAAATGGAAAATTGCTGATAATAATG